GTCTAAAGTGGGTCTCTTGTAAACAGCATATTGATGGATCATGTTTTCTTATCCACTCTGTTACCCTGTGCCTTTTGATTCGATTGTTGAGTCCATTGACGTTAGAGCAAGTACTAAAAGATATGAATTTATTACCAATATGTTGCTTGTAGAGTTGGAGTTTCTGGTGGTGTTCTCTGGTCCTTTCTAGTCTTTGTTGCTTTTGGTCTTTTTTTTTTTTTTTTTTTATCTTTTCTCCCCTCAGAGAGTCCCTCTTAAAATTTCTTGCAGGGCTGGTTTAGTGGTCACAAAGTCCTTTAAGATTTGTTTGTCAGGGAAACTTTTTATCTCTCCTTCTATTTTGAATGACAGCCTTGCTGGATAAAGAATTTGTGGCTGCATTTTTTTCTGATTCAGCACATTGTATATATCCTGCCACTCCTTTCTGGCCTGCCAAGTTTCTGTGGATAGGTCTGCTGAACCTTATCTGTCTTCCCTTGTAGGTTAGGGACTTTTTTTCCCTTGCTGCTTTCATGACTCTCTCCTTGCCTGAGTATTTTGTGAATTTGACTATGATATGCCTTGTTGGTGGCCGGTTTTTGTTGAATCTAATGGGAGTCCTCTGTGCTTCCTGGATTTTGATGTCTGTGTCTTTCCCCAGGTTAGGAAAGTTTTCCACTATGATTTGCTCACATAACCCTTCTACCCCTATTTCTCTCTCTTCCTCTTCTGGGACCCCTATGATTGTGATGTTGTTCCTTTTTAATGAGTCACTGATTTCTCTAATTCTTAAATCGTGCTCTTTTGCCTTCATCTACCTCTTTTTTTCTGCTTCATTATTCTCTATAATTTTGTTCTCTATATCACTGATTCTCTGTTGTGCCTCATCCATCCTTGCCACCACGGCATCCATCCTGATTGCATCCCAGTTATAGCATTTTTAATTTCATTCTGGCTATTTTTTACTTCTTTTATCTCTGAAGAAAGGGGTTCTAATCTATTTTCAACTTCAGCTAGTATTCTTATTATCGTGATTCTAAATTTTGGTTCAGACATCTTGCTTCTATCTGTGTTGGTTAAATCCCTGACTGTCGTTTCTTCGTGCTCTTTCTTTTGGGGTGAAATCCTTCGTTTTGTAATTTTGAAGGGAGAAAAGGAATTAATGAGGAAGAAAAATTGAAATTAAAAAGAAAATTAAAATTTTAAAAATATTAAAATTAAAAATTAAACACACACACACACACACAAGTCGAATAAATGATGCTAGATCCTAGGTGTGTTTTGGTCTGGGTGTTGAAAGTGGTTTGAGAGATTAGAGGAAAAAAAAGGGGGGGAGAAAAAAAGGAAATCATTTGAGAATTTGAAAAATGAATACACTGAAGTAGACTAAAATGAGATGATGGGGGTAAATAGAATTTGAAAAAATATACACAAAAGTAAAGAATATAGTAGAAAAATTAAAGAAAAATATTTTAATAAAAATTAAAAATAAATATGAATTTTTTCTTTTTCTGTATTTAAGAAAAAAGAAACGAAATTAAAAAAGAAAAAAATATAAAAAAAGAAAAAGAAAGAAAAAAAGAAATCATTTGAAAATTTGAAAAAGTGAATACACTGTAGTAGACTAAAATAAAATGATGGAAGTAAAACAGAATTTGAAAAAAATTACATTAAACAAAAAATACAGTAATAAAAATTAAATAAAAATATTTTAATAGAAATTGAAAGTATAAGTGAAATTTTTCTCTTTCTGCATTCAAGAAAAAGAATAGAAATGAAAAAGAGAAAAAAGAAAAAGAAATAAAGGAAATTGTTTGAAAATTTGAAAAGGTGAATACACTGAAGTAGACTAAAATAGAATGATGGAAGTAAGAATTTGAAAAAAAACTTACACAAAAGTAAAAAATATAGTAATAAAAATTAGAGGAAAATATTTTTAATAAAAATGAATTTTTTATTTTTCTGTATTCAAGAAAAAGAAAAGAATTGTAAAAGAGAAAAAGAAAAAAGAAAAAAAAAGAAAGAAAATTGAATAGATGAACCTGCTAACAGATTGAAGTAGGACTGAAATTGCTTCGTTTTCCCCTAGAGGTCAGTCCGTGTAGCTCTTTATAGTCCATAGATTAAGTCGCGGAGAGGTTTGTGTTCTTACGCCAATTTGGCCCAGTTGGGCAGGGCTCGGTGTAATAGCTCTGCTCTCCACTAGATGGCGCTGCTAGCCTACTGGGGTGGGTTGTTGCGGGCTCATCGGTGCGCATGCGCCGGAGCGGTGAAAAATGGCGCCACCCAGCCACCCGGTCTGTTCTCCCAGATCAGCATTTGTGCACCGGGCCTCCGTCTTCAGCTCTCATCCACTCCCCGCTTTTTCACTCTCCGTGACCAGGCCCCAGGCAGTACCTCTCTCCTGAGTTTTGTCTCAGATGCGGCTCTTTTCCCTGGCCCCTTACTTCTGACGGACTGTGGCTTTGACCCGTTCTGCCCCTCTGCAGGAGGGTCTCACCAAGCAATGGCCAAATGAGCAATGGCCGAATGCCGGCTGCACCCAGGAACGCTTGCTGGACCCTGCTGCTGCCGGTGCCCCAAGACTTTGGCCGGGTGCCAGCCCGCCCCAGAAAAAGTTTGTGAGATAGTGTAGCAGCAGCTTTTCAGGGATTATGGAAAATCACAACACACATCTGGTACCAGGCTTCACCCTTAACGACCTTGTTACAGCACCAGCGAATGTGGCCATTTTCTGGGGTCTGCTGGGACCAGGTGGCTTCAACCATCTCTACCAAACGTCCTTCCAGCAGTGGAACCGCTTTTCCCGGTGTGGCCCACGAGAACCTCCCGGACCTCACTCTGTTCCTGGGGATTCGCCCTTCCCACCAGAGCACCGCCAGGTAGGGAGCTGCGGAGTTGCAGCCTTTGCGCTCCCCTTGTTTACAGTCTTAATGGCATTTAAACCCTCTCCTTTCTCCTTTCTCCCTTTTTAGTTTAGTCCCTGCGGCTATTTCCAATTTTCCATTTTCTCTCCAACTGCTTTTGGGGAGGGGTGCTTTTCCCATATTCTCCCCCCATCCCCAGTCTCCGTCCTCTCTCCTCCCGCAAAAGCAGTTCCCTACCTTCCACAGCTTCTCTCTCCCCAAGTTCACCACTACGCGCCATGTACCTGCTGACTTCTGTGGTTCAGGTTGTGCAGATTGTTGTGTTAATCCTCCAATCAGTTTTCTAAGTGTGTAGGATGGTTTTGTGTTGGTCTGGCTGTATTTCACGGACGTGAGACACCCAAAAAAATTTCCATGCTGTTCCACCATCTTGGTTCCTCCTCATAAAAGATTTTTTTATTGACATATGCTTTCATTTCTCTTGGGTCAATATCTGGGAGTAGAATGGCTGGATCATATGGTAAGTGTATATTTGACTTTGTTAAACCAATTTGTTCTTGTAGTTTTTTTTGTAGATTCCCTTGCATTTTCTGCTCAGTTATGCTGTCTGTTAATGAAGATAAGTTCACTTCTTCCTTTCCAAACTGTATGTCTTTTGTTTCTTCCACATGCCTTATTACATTTGCGAACCTCTAATTCAATATTAAATACAAGTGGTGAGAGCCAAACTTTTTCCCTTATTTCCAAAACAAGGAGAAAGCATTTGGCTTTCACCATCAAGTATGACATTTGATGGAGGTATCTTGCTGAACCCCTTTTTTAAGTTGAGGAAATTCCCATCAGTTCCCAATTCACTGGGAGTTTCAATCAGGAATGGATCTAAATTTGGTCAAATGCTTTTTCTGTATTTAATGAGATTACCCTCATAAAAAAGTTTGTCAATCTCTTAGGATACGTTATTGATAAATTGTCATGACAAAATATTAAGGAAAATATTACTCTCCCATTTTGTAAATAGTGGAATGAAGTTCAAAAGTATCAAGAAAGTTCATGGCAGAGCTAACAGTTTTGAACACAGAAGTCTAGCAAAAACCTGTTCGGTGTTATTGCCACTATACATTGCTTTCAGAGAAATCTGAAAGACTAGAGGGTGGCAAAATGACTTCTTCCCAAACCTTTCAAATATTTTAAGACAGTCTTTAATAAGTTATTTAGGCAAGTGAAACTAATAAAGCAAATTAAATAATTGCAGGTTTGGCTCTTTTACCAGAAGAGGAAAGAAAATCTTTTATAAAGGATACTCAAACTGGTGTTCAGGAGCTGACCCCTCTATAGGGGCCTCACCATTCCATTCAGAGCGATTATTAGATACCTGCTTTAAGCAGTGCACCGTAGTAGGCATGACAAACTCTTCTAGAGTTTTGTGAACCACTGGGATACTGTAGTTTCATTCATGACTAGTGATTACTCTCTCTCTGGTCCTTGAAACTTACTTGTGATAATGTAGTCTAAGGGCATAGTTGTTCCAATTAACCAATATAAATGTTTCTAAATTTTTTTATTTTAAATGTTTTTTTTTTTATTTTTGAAAGAGAGAACATGTGGGGGGTGGGTGCAGAGAGAGATGGGGACAGAGGATCCAAAGCAGGCTCCGCACTGACAGTAGAGAGCCCAATGTGGGGCTCAAACTCACGAACTGTGAGATCATGACCTGAGACGAAGTCAGACACTCAAACTGACTGAGCCACCCAGACACACCATCTCTCAAAAAATTTCAAATAAAATTGCCTTATGATCCAGAAATTCCACTTCTGGTATACATTCAAAAATTGGAAGAATTTCACTATAAACCCCAAACATTGAGACATTTATAAATTCCTGTTTCCACCAAAAGGAAAGTTTTGCTTTGGAAGACCCAAAGGTGCAGCAAAAGATCATATGGATAAAGAAAATGTGGTATGACATACACTGAAATATTATTCAACCTAAAAAAGGATAGAAATTCTGACACATGTTGCAACATGGGTGAACCTTGAAGACATTATGTAAAATGAAAGTCACATAATGACCAATACTGCATAATTCCACTTCTAGGAGGTATCCAAAATAGTCAAACTCATGGAAAGAGAAAGTAGAATGGTAGTTCCCAAGGACTGTAGGGATGGAGCTATTGTTTAATGAGTACAAATATTCAGTTTTTCAAGATGAAAAGATTTCTGGAAATGGACAGTGGTGCTTGTTGAACAACAATGTAAATGTATTTCATACCACTGAATTGTACACTTAAAAATTGTTAAACTGGTAAAAATGTATGTTACAATGGTAAAATTTTATAATTAAAATTTTTTAAAGAGATTCTTGTTAGGATTTCTACCCTACCCATCTGCTTTCCACGCAAATATAAGAGTGTTACAATGCAAGACCAGTTATCAACCATCCATTACCATTCGAATGTGAAGGCACTGGGGAAATGAGGTTAGAGGTGGAAGGAGGAAAATGGAGAGAAGGAGTGGTGTTGGACTGTGGAACATTGATCAAACAAAGAGGGCTCAGAAGTGTGCAACCTGAGCCACGTGCTGGGAAAAATGCCTTTGAAAAAGTTTTGAAGTAAAGGGTGGGAACAGACAAAGAGGATAATTCACACCCTGCTACTTCACAGGGTCCCCCCTAAGAGCCACTAATCATGATCATTTGCAGATAACAGTGTTGGGAAGCAGGTAAACCTCCAGAATGCAAATCGAGGACATAAATGCTAGGCGTGTTAATAACATGGGACGAGCAATAGTACAGACATATGTCACAGAGTAGGCACCTTGGAAAATACATGTAAGTACAGTTGACTCACAGTAAACAAACCTAATTAAACCACGTCATTAAGCAGAATAAACCAGCGTGACATAAAACAAAAAAAGGAAAACCACAGAAACATTCCATGGCCTTCCATATTCTAAATAATGGCTGTAACATAATATATATTCGAGATATACTTACTGAATAAAATTCACCTGAAAATCCAACAATTCACACACATTTTTACTGATTTTTGAGTCAAATGTTTCCGAATTTACTTAGCCAATTCTCACAGCTGAATCTAATTGCAAAATGGCAAATTGTTTATCGTGGCTTTTCTAGTTTTCAATAAACCCTTTCAACACAAATTTTCAGGGGTAAGGATGTTTTTGATGAATGATAATTCTTATCTAGAGAGGTATTTTCTTAGAGTCAGGTTTTCCCTCTAACCCTCCATCTGAGCTGCCCCAGCCTTAGCCACTTCCTGTGTAGGATGGAATTCCCTGCCTTGATCCCTACAACAGGTGGATGTATCAACAAGAGCTCTGGGGTTTGGGTACACCTCCCTCCAGCTTGCCTCTCACTGTGGGCTCCTGAGTGCACAGAAATACACTGCAGAGTCCTCCAGCTGTGAAGCTGAGATGACAAGATGGATGGATTTTCTTGCCTTCTGGAAATTCAATGAGTAGCGACCTTCTGTGGCATTTTGTTGGTTGTGAGAATCTTGACGAACAAGGAAAATCATCTCCCCGCGGCTGGGCTGCTTGTACCACAATAGACTATAATTTGGATCGCTGGTGTCATATGTGCATTCCAGGATGACAGCCTCCTTCTCCTGTACTAACATCGCTGGTGGGGCTTGAGTTACCTTTTGGGAAATACTGGATCCTGAAGAAAAAAACATGGGATCAGAGTTTCAGAATAAGTCATCTGGCACAAGGAAATTGTGTTTTACACACTATTATCCCTCCCTTCCAAGGTACCCACAAGACACCACTTATGTCCCCTGTTTTTAGGTCATACAGGAGGAACATTACAATGGGGGACATCCTTACCCAGCCACATTGAAGCCATTACCACCTTCAGAAGGCTGGACAGAAACATGTTTGAGTTTTTCCACTAGATGGGAAATGTCTTCTTCAATTTCAGAGCTCGGCACCGTGAGGGGAGCCTGCCAGGGTGAAGGAAGGATGGCTGAGTATGTGCTGCTGTTGCCCCAGAACAGGAAATAGAGGTTTCCTGTAGCAAGTTGTGTGGGTCATGTCACACTTCTCTCTGTACCAGCTGAGAGTCTCATTATCCAGACTTCTTTTTGCATTCAGTGACTCTAATGTGTAAAGTCACATCTGAAAATGAATGAGTAAAATTTTATATTGAAATGAGGATTGGTGGTTTAACTACAATATGTTCATTCATTGCATCTGTGATGAAAGTGGGTGGGAGGCACTTACTTAAAAATATGACAACTAAGGGTCACTTTCGGAACACATATACTAAAATTAGAATAATACAGAGAAAATTAGCATGGCCTGTGTGCAAGAATGATGTGAAAATTCATGAAGTATTCTATATTTTTAAAAATACTACATGTAATGTATTATGGAAACAGCATAAGATATAAGAATCATGAAAAAAGATGTAAGAATCGTGTATGCTCACACTATGTTATTTCACGTAAGATAGAAATAAATCACTTTATGATAAGAAGGCAAAATGTTTAGACTAACTGTAGCTCTTTCAATCTACCTATTAGTATGCCACTATTCTTCCTCACTGTCAATGTCTGTTCAGATGCCTTTCTTGGGGCCAAAGGCTGGAAAATCTAATCACTTTTTGCTGAAAGGTTTAGACTGAAGCCCTCAGATAATAGATCCTGTCGCCGAGGTCTCCTTCTTACATTGTTTAGTTTCAACAGCTCAGCTCTGTTCAGAAAGGCCAGAATAAACATCAGAGTTTGTTCATTAATTATCAAATATTTAAATTTATATTTTTCTCATTACCTCAGTTGAACCACAGTAAGCCCCTGTACTTTGTATGCCCAGTTCTGAAAAGAATATACCCTAGGTGACACCATACACCTCCACAAGACTATTGACCATACGATGATTGATTGTGATAAGACTTTCTCTGTGTGCACAGATTAAAAGTAAGGTTGTGTCCTAAGGACATTTTTCAACATCATGGCAAACAGCAAAGATCCATTGCCTCTTACTATTGACTTCCTGATACAGTAGCAAAGACTTAACATCCTTGTCTCAAAATCATTATAGCTTCAGCTAAATTGGTCGAAGCATCTTCGGAATTTGTACTGCAGTCTCCATGAAATATGATAGAACCACATAGAGTACAACTGTCAGGCTCTCTAAGTGATAGACTATAACTATCTATAAACACCTAATGTTTTTCTACCACTGGCAGAGTAAATGTGAAATATTATTAATTTCTACTCCTATTACTCAACTCTAACACATTTCTCAATGAAGGGAGCCTCATGATTGCACTTATGTCATTCAAGAAGTGTCCATATCCAGGGTAAATCTGTCAGACACTCTGAGACCAAATTCTGAATTAATAGAATTTTAATAATCTTATCTTAAACATTGAAAGAGACAATACCAGACTGGTCATGCAATTACCACTCCAGAATCCTTTATAAAGTTCAATCACTTAGCAGAAGCAACATTAATTCAAGTGGCTGAACTAATGGATATCTTTTGGGCATGTCAATTTCCAAAAAAAAAATTATGTAGTCAGTGTCAGTCAATATGCTTTTAAAGTATTCACACCTTCCAAACACTATAAAGACAGTGAGATTCCTTAACTTTCTTTTTTTTTTTTTTTTAATTTTTTTTTTCAACGTTTATTTATTTTTGGGACAGAGAGAGACAGAGCATGAACGGGCGAGGGGCAGAGAGAGAGGGAGACACAGAATCGGAAACAGGCTCCAGGCTCCGAGCCATCAGCCCAGAGCCCGACGCGGGGCTCGAACTCACGGACCGCGAGATCGTGACCTGGCTGAAGTCGGACGCCCGACCGACCGCGCCACCCAGGCGCCCCTCCTTAACTTTCTTTTATTGACCCTTTCACATAGCTCATGTATCTTATAAGAAAGGAACAGCAAATACATGAATTATTGATGTCTTCGTGTTGTTAAAAAGAAATTTTATCATAATGACGAAAGATCACGATACAAAAGACACTGTAGAAGCTAGGGAAAAATGCCTGAGCAGGCCATCATGCTACACATATGTTTCCAACTAAGGTCCTTATGTGAGCACCTCTTTTTTTTTTTAATTTTTTAATGTTTATTTATTTTTGAGACAGAGAGAGATACAGCATGAACGGGAAAGGGTCAGAGAGAGAGGGAGACAGGATCTGAAACAGGCTCCAGGCTCTGAGCTGTCAGCACAGAGCCTGACGTGGGGCTCGAACTCACGGACCATGAGATCATGACCTGAGCCGAAGTCGGACGCTTAACCGACTGAGCCACCAAGGCACCCCGAGCACCTCTTAAAAAACATAAAGACCAATCCATGGAAAAGTTTAATAATTCCAATTTGGTTGCAGAATATTTGGCACTAAGCTTGATAACGAGTCCCACATCAGGTGAGCTCGGGCCCCGCTTCTGGTAAAACACAAGTCCTGGGTGAGCCCTGCTTCTCTCTCTCTCTCCCTCCCTCTCCTTCTTTCTCTTTACCCCCCCTTCCCACCTTGCACCCTCTCTCTCTTTCCCTTGCTCACTTGCACCCTCTCTCTCCCTAAAAAAAAAAGGGCTATGGTTAGTAATGTTTAATTCAATCAAATGTGAAGTTGACTCAGGGAGGTTTGGAACAAGTTGTCTCTACATTAACCATTAGTCCAAATGCCTTTGTGTGCACTGCACTAACGAGGTGGTTAATAAGTGCATATAAAATGTTTCCCATATGCCTCAAAAAGAACGGTTTTAATTATAATGATAACACAAAATTACAAGTCCAAGAATACATTTAATTATCTTAAAGCCACAGAGCTTTATTAAGAAAGGAAGACATATGAATGGAAAGAAACAGAACGCTCTGAAACAAATAATCAGATATACGCATTAAGGACTTTTATTTTTCACAATAAATTTATACATTTAATTCCATCATAAAAATTAGATTAAAAGTATGTTTAAGTAGCAGAATTCATCTTTCCTTCTTTCTTTAAAAAACATCTACGGATAGCCCATTATATGAAAAAGTTTGTGCTAGGTACTGCGAATACAGCAGTGAATGAAATACAAAATTCTTTCTTCTAAATTGTATGAGAGAGTAACTGTGAACAGATACTTAGAGAATTTTGTAAATGAGAATAGATTTCTGAGTTTTATCTTAAGTTCATATTGTCAAGTCATTCCCTATCTTAATTTCTCTCAAACACACAAATAATAGACACCATCACTGGGCTCTAAAGGAAAACCCATGCCACATTTTCTGAAAGAGAAAGTGATCAAATCACATATATGGCTGTCAAATTTTGTCCCAAATACAGAGGAAGAAAATTAGTATGAAACTGTACTTAATTAAAATATTTCACAGAGCTATTGTAAAGCAGATGTTAAATAAAACATTAAAAATAAAATAAAGTAGATGTTAGAGGTGAAAACATGATGTAAGGAATGCTCAAATCAAATTATATTAAGTGAAAAAATCATGTTCCTAATCAGAATACGATTTTTAAGACTAAAATGAATATTAGCAATAATATCCGATTATAGAAGTATGACTTTCATATTTTTCACTTTATGTATTTCTATATTTGACATGTAATGTTGTAAAATCAGAAAAATAATAAATGCTGCTTGGAAACACAACATTTAAATGCCCATCTCATCCATAGTAAGGACTGAAATATTAGTACTAAGGGGTTATTTATGGGAAAGGCATCTGAATAGCATATGTAAACTCACATTTAAAGCCTGAATTTCAAAATAAAACCTTACTAACTCCCTTCAAGAATTCCATTGAGCAGCAATCATCCAAGAAAATGTTCTAACCCTGTCTGGGTCATCTCGATCCCAGTTGTCTTCAGTTATGCTTTAATGTCTAACACATTAGCTTCCGCCTGCAGACAAACAATAGCACAAACGATCTACTTGAAGTTCTGCGTCAAAGGACAGGGGCTGCCCAGTCACAGGTTTGGGTGCAGGCAGCAGGTGTCTGGGACGCAATGTGCACTTGCTGCACAGAAGTAGACAGCTGAGTCTGCAGGCTGGGCGGATGCGATGTGCAGGGACAGATGCTTGGCCGTCTTATTCAGTAAAACAGTGAGTCTTTGGTCTTCTTTTTTGGCCACACTTGAACGAATGTCTATAATGAGCTGGGGACCTTTTCCAAGTTCTTGCTTATACCAAGGGAAGTAGTTTGAGGCACTGTCTGAGTAACTACAGGTGATAACACAGCTGTTTCCCTCCTGGACACTCAGGGTGGAAGGACTCTGCTCCACATTCTCTCCTCGGCTGAGCCCTGTGCAGAAAGAAAAGGTCAGAGAAAGGAGAGCAGGTCCCGCGTTATTGTGCTTCAGAATTCCCCTTTTCTCCACTACCTGGAGGAAACCTGAGTAAAGCCAGTCTTGACTGCTGAAGACTATCCACTCATTACTCTGTTTCTCATAAACACTCAACTCACAGTGCAG